CTGTTACCGACAAATGCAGGTTTCTGCTGTGTTTCTGCAGCTATAGTGCAACTGGCTTTCAGACTTCAATCCTGTCATTCAAATTTCCTCAATACGAGTGCCTCTGAAATTTTGTGAATGGAGACATATGAGTTTCTTTCATGTTTACCAATGTCTAAATTGATCGTGTACTGTGTATCTGTGAGAAATAAACAATATCAGTATCTTTTTTAAACCTCATTTGGTGTCTAAGCAGGTCTGTTTTCAAGGGAATAGGAAAAGTAAATTAATGTTGATACTATTCAAAAGGTTTGTATACATTACACCAGATTTGTAAGATATTCCTACTTGATCATATTGTGGTTTGCTATGTATGGTTGCAGAAAGGTACTAAAGGAACTAACAGTTGAGTGAAGAGGTTTGGGAGTAATTTATGAATAGACCTGTAAATGTTTAATCTTTGGGTAGACTGTGTCCAATAAATGTTCAAATAAGTTTTACAAAGAACAGCCCACAGCTGGAGACACTCTCAGTAGCAGGCAAATAATTCCATTCACTTTTGTAGGCAAATGTTCTAATATGTTTACATTTTTTGCAAATACAGTAGCCTAAAGCAACTTCTCCTGAAAGGCAGGGAAGGGGTGGGAATTAAAACAACAACAACAACAACAACAACAACAAAAACCACACCTTCCTCTAAGACTGTGGAAGACTGCTTAGTACCAAGGGAGTTTGGACAAGGACTTTATACTGTCCACAATCAGGTCATTACAGAGTAATCAAGCATAGTCTTTTTCAAGAAAAACATGAGTAAGACTTTTTGAAGGAAAAGAACATTTAAGGACTTTTCCCATAGACTGTTGTCACTGTGATAAAGTTAACAAAATTTGAATGTTTTTTAATCACTTCACTCTGGTCTGCTTCTCTGTCTGCATACTTGGGAAAGTTTCTGCAACTGAGGATGGGTTTTGCTTTTTTTATATTACCTTGCATATTATCTTCTAGTGTTTTATAAAAAAAAAGAAAACTATGAAGTAACTACAGGTTGAATAACAGTCTTTGGGAGAAGACTCTCTGAGAGATTACACTACCTGTGCTACAGCTAGTACTTTAAAGTATAAGGATGTTTTTTGTGTGGACTTAAAGGTCAAAAGTAATTTAGGTCATCTATGGCACTAAATCTTTCTTCGTGACCACCACCATCTGTGGTGCATTGTTCTTAAATCTAAAGCCTTCCTCCTTTATGTAGAAATCTGTTTGAGAATTTAGGCTGTCTGAATAGTTGGAAAGAAATTTGGGGAAGGATCCAGATTAATTAGAAATTCATCATCTGAATGGAAATAAAATACTTGTTATTAAAGAACACTTTTTAAAGTCGTCTGTCACATAAGTAAATAGGTGTTATACTCCAATTCTCTCTCATATTTTAATATATATAGGACTTTAACTATGGTATGCAGACAAGGTATGATCATTTGTAACAAGCATAGTGACACGAGGTAGAAGAATGTATTGCCTTTCTACATCGAATGTGGATGGCTGGTCAGGAGAAACAAGTGAAAGGGTTAAAGCCAAGAAAGACAAAGCCACTGCATCCAAATGCCTCCTGAGAGAATTAAAGCCTAGGGGCAAGGAGGATGTTTGAAATGTCGTGGTCACTTAACTAAACAAAAGAAAGGCCTTTGTGATTTAGGGGTTGTTAGAACGGTTGGAAGATAAGGGGGCTCCGGGATAATCCCGTCTGGGACAACTGGGCCGGGGGAGGACAAAGGCAGGGAAGATGGGAAGTCCCAGAAGAATGACAGCAGCCTTGAAGGAGCCCGTTTACGCGATCCTAGGGCGGAGTTTGGGCAGAAGCAAAGGTCAATCAGCGAACACAGCGAAGCAGACATCTGAAGACCCCCAAAGACCACTTGAAGACCACCACGGGAGACGACTGCGCGTGCGGATCGGGCATTTGCCTATGTTAATAAGCTCCAGGAAACACCATGATTATGTAACTGAATTCTCGGGAATCCTGTGAATGGGTAGGACTTTATGGTATACACTCTCTGAAAGTCTGCCCAATCGGTGGAGCACTCACGGTGGAGAATCCCCCGCGCTGCCCAGCGCTGCAATAAAGAATCCCTGCTTACCGGTACCTTCGTTGCTATTGAGTTTCATTTCAGGGACTCTCCGAATACCCCGTTTCTCCCTTGGGGAGATTCGGCCTGGGAGGAGAAGCATCCGTGCATTTTTGTATCCCAAGGAAGAGGAACTATATGCAGTAACTGTAGGAAAATATTCTGGTCATATCTTAGCTGAAGAAAAAGAGGATTTGGTATACAGAACTCATCAGTTTGCCTGTACTAATGAAAAACATGCTAAAAACCATCGTGAAAATACTGTTGGTGGCACAGAAAACAGAACATTAGTCATAAACTGCTATGAGAGGAACTGAACTCTCTATATGCACCATCTCAGGGAGGGAACATGGCTAGAAAGGCAGAGAAAAAAAATGGTAAATTTTGTGATTTACCATTACTGAGTGTAACTAGTTTCTAGTGAAGAAGATAATAGAAAAAAAAGACATTTAGACTAGATTTCTATCTGACCGTATCTCATTTGAAAATAAAAATGTCAGAATACTTGTGTTTTCGAGTGATTTTTCAAACATCAGTGGGGAAAAAATCCTCCTTCCCTAATTTCTAAGAGAAGCAAAACCGACCCACTTCCTTCTCAGGCAGTTCAGTGTGAGCATTGGTCCTGAAGAGAGAGAACTGCTCCCTCCTCACAGTGTTTCCGAGGGCAAAAATGAAACCCGGGAGGCCTCTGTTTCAAAACACAGGACTTTCAAATGGCCCAATCAGGACCTTCTACAAATGAGCCCGCTGAAATCTCTTCCCTCCATACTAAATATCCACCAATAGAAGGTTATTTTGCTTAATATACTACAGAAAATAAACTGAGATTATTAAACAAAAAATAATCCTCAAATGCTTTAAACCTAGTTCTATTAGTAGCCATGCTGAAATTCAAGTCCATCTCTGAATAGGTGATCAATACCTAACACTACTTCTTTCAATAAGACAGAGCTGATAAAAAGGAAAAGTAGTACTCTGCCTGTTTCGGGGGGGGGGGGGGGGGGGGGAATCAAACCAAACCAAAACCCAACTTGAAAATTGTGTGAGAAGCAAGTATTGTTTAAAACCAGCCCCGCGATTCTCATCTTGTTTCCAAGCAGCACTGCAGCCGGGCACTCCTGCGTTACCTTCCTCTGCTTGAAAAACATTTTCGATTAACACATTGCCACGATGACTCACTCCTCTGCCTCCTGAGGGAGGACACAGCAAAAAGCAGCAGTTTTCCTCGCCTTGTTTCTCAAGGGGCATTTTTAAAGAACAAAGAAAACAACCCCCAAGCCCTCAGGCAGCCTAATCCAGAGGGTTCCAGCTCCCGGTGGTGCATTCCTGGCTCCCTTTCGGGCAGCTTTGTTTTCTTCCGCGTAAAACACTACTGAATGAAAAAGAAACAAAAGCCTGTTTGATCTGTATCTGCCTAAAAAAGGAGGGAATGCAGTGTCCCTTACAGTGGAAGAAGAAAAAAAAAATTAATCTGTTCCGAGGAAACACAGAGGGAAGAGGCACTTTCCTATCTTCCAGCGGAGCAGACTCCTCGAGGCACCAATGGCAGAGGAGCTCCTTCCTATAAATACCAACCTCTCGCTGATTATCTTTATTTATATCCCCCCAACACTCCTCCCCATCTTTTTGAAACCTGTCTCTGACCATGTCCGAGACTCTGCCCGCCGCCCCAGCCCCCCCCCCCAAGAAAAGAAGCTGAAGGCGGCGGTGGGCGGCTCTGAAGCCCGTGGGCCCCAGAGCCACCGAGCTGATCACTGAGGCCGTGACGGCCTCTAAGGAGTGCAAGGGGCTCCAAGGCTCAAGAAGGCCAAGACAGCAGCGAAGAGAGCTAAGCACCCGGCGGCCACCGCAGCTAAGAGCACCAAAAAGGTGACTAAGGCTGCCAAGCGCAAAAAAGCAACACCGAAGAAGCCAGCACCCAGGAGGCCATACCGTAAGAGGAAAGAAAACTTTGCAGTTAAATCTAACAGCACTTTTAAAATCCACCCATGCTGTCAGGACAAAGAAAGAACTGAAACATCAGTTTGAGTCTAGACTGGTACACGATGCTACCCTGCTGTACGTATATGTGCCTTTCCGTAGTGCTTCTATACGAACTCACACGCTATGGAAAATAAACTTTAGCCTATTTTGTTTTAACTCGTGATCCTGCATTACGGTTTCCAACCACCCCCCACCCCCATCCTTTACTCAGGAGAGCTGACTCTGTCCTTTGGAAACGGTCCAGGGTTAGTTACGGGACGGCAGCCCAGGGGAATACTTCGAATTCTGTCACTACTGCCTGAAAGCCATCGACGGCAAAGAAGCAAAAAAAAGGACCTCATAAGGCAGGAAAACATAGC